TTTTGTTTTGCTTTGTGTGCTTTTCAGTTGGTTACCGAACTACAAAAACTGTTTTTTTTGTACCTATAGCCACCAGCGGATATAGGAACGGGGCGTCAGGGGGCAACGCCCCCTCCCCCCTCAGGGATTCGACCCTCTGCCGACCAAAAAGGTCTGCCCCCACTATTTTTTTGAGATCCCCCCACTATTTTGAGGTCCCCCACTACTTTGAGATATCCATTTTCGGCTTAGTGCCCCTAAAATTGCTTAACGGCGCCTAATATCTACTAATTTTGAGGGGGTGCGCACTGGCAAAAATGAATTTTCTTGGTCAAATTTTTCGAAAAAATGCCTGAAAAAGCTTTGCCCGTTTTTTTCAAAATTTTGCCTGCGACGCGTAAAAGTTTGCCGAAAAGGGTCTTTTAAAGGTTTTGGGAGAGCTTGAAATCAATGGAATCTTTGTAGGGTTTAGGAGACCCCCCCTTTTTGTCCCTTCTGTGAAAATCCTAGATCCACCCTGAAACGCACGTTTATGCATGTTTCAGGTCTTCCCCCACCATATTTTGATAAAAAAATTAAATAATTTTTAAATTAGTTTTATTATCAAAATATGGTTTATTGAGTTTTACTGATTTTTACTGTGTTTTTATGCAAAATTCCGATATAATTGATTTTTCTTGTGAAATAACAATTCGATAGAAAAAGTTATTATAACATATTATAATAGATTATAATAGTTTATAAGAGATTATAACAGATTGTAAGGATTTTCGGAAAAAAAAAGAAATAATTAAAATTGATTATAATTTATTAAACCGTCACCAAAAATGTTATCTTTAAAATGGATTATAAGACGTTTAAATATCTAAAATTGGCGCTTATAGTTAATTATAACTTTGCTAAGAGTACGACTATAATTATAATATGATCGATAATTTTCTTTTTTTAGGCGGGTAGTTTCGCGGGTAACAGTGCGTGGTTGGTTATGTCAAGTTCTATTCCAATAATTGTACGATAACCTGAATCCTTGTTTTTTATCATGAAATGAGTTTTTTTGGTCATTTTATTAGTTCCCATTCACTTTTTAATTTGATTTGAATTCTCTTCTAGTGAATCTTTTTTGTTTATTTTGCCGCTTAACTTCATATCATCTGCAAATAAAATGATGCTAGCATTCTTAACTGAGAAGTTATATCTTTGATGTAAAATTACGAAAAAAAAACAAAAAAAATAACAATTGCTTACACTGAACCCTGGTGCATTCTGCACTTTAAATTTAATTTAGCCTAAGCTTTACCATAGTTCAACGCCCTTAGCTTTACCGTAGTTTATGAATTGAGCCAATGGGCATTTCACTATCAAAACTAACTCTCTCTCCATCAACCTTAGGTCTATATCATAACAGGTCTTTTAAAAAAAACTGGAAAAGGCCAGACATTGGTTTGACTTTTCATTGGTTTGACCTTTCTAGGATTCAAACAGATTTAAACATTGATTTAAAAAGGTTATCCACTGGTTTACTAGTTCTCACTTTTTACTGATTTTTACTGTGTTTTCATGCAAAATTCCGTTATAATTGATTTTTCTTGTGAAACAACAATTCGATAGAAAAAGTTATTATAACATATTATAATAGATTATAATAGTTTATATGAGATTATAACAGATTGTAAGATATTTTCGGAAAAATTATAAATAAATATAATTGCTTACAATTTATTTAATTGTTACCAAAAATGTTATCTTTATAATGGATTATAAGTCGTTTAAACATCTAAAGTTGGCGCTGATAAATAAATTTAATTTTGCTAAAAGTACGAAAATAATTATAATATAATTGAAATTTTTCTTTATTTACTGAGTGCGGGTAACAGTGCGTGGATGGTTATGATAAGTTCTAGTCCAGTAATTGTACGATAACCTGAATCCTTGCATTTTATCATGAAATGAGTTTTTTTGTCATTTTATTAGCCCTCATTCACTTTTCAATTTGATTTGGATTCTCTCCTAGTGAATGTTTTTTGTTTAGTTTGCCGCCTAACTTCGTATCATCTGCAAATAAAATCATGCTAACATTTTTAACTGCGATGTTATATCTTTGATATAAAATTTCAAGAAAAAACAAAAAAATAACAATTGCTTATACTGAACCCTGGGGCATTCTCCACTTTAAATTTAATTTAGCCTAAACTTTACCATAGTTTAACGCCCTAAGCTTCACCAAAGTTTATGAATTGAGCCAATGGCCATTTCATCATCAAAACTAACGCTCCATCAACCCTCAAACCAAACTGAAGGGGTTTACATGGAGCCCGAGCAGACTCAGCTAGGTCTATATCATAACAAGTTTTCCAAAAAAGCTGAAAATGGTCAACCATTGGTTTGAGTTTTCAATGTTTTGACCTTTCTTGGATTCAAACAGATTTAAACAATGTAAGAACTTGGGAAGCAGAAAACAGAAATGGTTTCAATTATGCAAATTTGAACAAAATATAAATCAAACTCAAACAAGCGATTCCCTTCAAGCGATCTTGATTTTAGTTTTAGAAGACACTGTAAAAGATTTTTGTGTTTAATGCAATTTCAAAATGTGATGGATACACCATATCACCGAAAGGCTTAAAAAAGCAAACATGCAGTTTGATTACATCAGAAGATCTTCGCCAAACTCTTCGAGTAGCTCTGTTTGGGTTTCACTTTTCAAAAAATGCCGACTATCAATAATTTTTGATGCATCTCCAGTTGGGTTTGCGACTAGAACCAATGTAAGCGAATAGAAAAGTTTCAACGACATATAATGGTTTTACAAGAAACATGATTTGAATGATGAGGCTTATGTTTCTTACTTATTAATAAAAGCAACTTGTTGTCAGTTTCACTGACGTTATTTAAAAATGATTGAAGTTTGCTGAGTAACCTTTTTAATAACGAGTTGCCGATAAAATGTCTTGGTTTTTGGGCAATCGATAAAGGCCTTGATTCAAATTGAACGGGAAACAAGACATTTTTGAGAAAACCAATGATAACAAGGAGCAAGCTTTCTGAAAATTTGTTTTACCGTGTCTCAGAAATGTTAAAGACCTTCGCGACATCGAACAATTTGCCTGGCTATGATCTTTATAGGAGACTATATCTTTATATATCAAGAATCTGTAATCTTTAGAAAGAATTTGAACCTGTTATTTGTTGACAAACAACAAACATTTAAATATTCCAATTTTTTTTACTCACTTTGTTTTCAATAACTAAGAGCAACTGATCGCCGCCTTGCGGGTTTAATTCAATCTTATTATTATGATTATTAATATGATTATTTTTTAATTATTATTATGATTATTATTATGATTATGATTATCATTATTATTACCTCAAAATGTATGCCGACAATTAGCATCTTTCATCCTATGCCATGGCGAAAAGGAGGCCGATAGGGGTAGTTCCTCGCGGGCCTGATATACATCCTTTGCGTGTTTAAATCTTCTGGGTTACAGATTTTTGTTCCAAATTTTGTAACGAAAGTAACTGATTGTTTGTGCACGGGGTGGGATTTTTTATCTTCAAACAAACTTCGACTTTTTAACCAGCCGTTTTTGATGAGTTTTTTAAAAGCCATTCAAACGATATGGTTGTCTTGAGCTTAAACTTGAATTGATATTTCACCAGTGATCATTTTTCATAATTTTATTGGGGTTTAAAGATTGCCAATTTGGGACTGTTAACGCATGATTTGTTTCGCGCTAATAACGCGTCAGCGGAGATTTAATCCGTCTTAGAAAACGATCCAAACTGATTGAACGAAGCTTAATTGCCATAATTGATTTTTTACCAGGAGCGAATATTATCAATTTGAGTTTTGTATGGCGTGGGTGGGTATGATTTTCACAACAAATCTCAAATTTAAAAAAAGAATTTCAGTTTTTTAATGAATCTAATTTTTTCATGTTATCACTGTTCCACAGACCTTAAAAGGCAGTCGGAACGTTCAGTGCTTTGCCCTGATACGATCAGTTTTGTTATTCATTTCTTTTTGAAAAAAAAATAATTTTTGGTATCAAATGTCAGTTTGGAAAACTTTTTTTTCTTCTTTCTTTTTTAATAAATTTTTATCGAGATTTAAGAACTGAATTTTAAACGAATGGCATGAATTGGTTCAAAAAGAGAACAAAACGATTAGTTTTTGTCTAAGTCATCTTTAATCATGGAAAAAAAAAGAACTATAACGGTGCCAAATTTCTAAATTATTAGAATAATAAGTTCAAAATTTCAGGATTGATCGCTTAAAAACAAACATTTTTAGCTCGTTGCTGTTTTTCTACAATTTTTTTTCATTTTGCTTAAATTTCTTAAGAGTGGGCGCAATCGACCTAACCGGTAGAAAACAAGGAAGTTGAGTCTGGGACAAATTTTTAGCCGAGTAGAAACTTGATTGGTTTTATTATGAGCCATTGCAGTTTTTATGCACTCACAGAATCATGCTTGTATCTCTAGGAAATCAGGAAACCAGCCTTCAAACATGAGGAAATTTGAGCTGCCTTTCGTCTTCGATCGTGCGGTAGAATTTATAAGCGTATACGTCGCGATGTACACTGTGTCGTTGCTTACAACCAGAAAATAATCAAAAAATGAATTAAAAAATCGGAAATTTTTTTAAACTTTTTTGAAACTTTTTCTGATGAGAAAGATATTTCAGCGGTTTTGAAGCTCTGCAAAGTTACAATAGTTTGAATATGGGAGTCTTTTGACGACTGAAATAGGAATAATTAGCACGCGATGTAATTCGACATATCAAGTGACAAATTAAATTGAACTGACACAAGCCATTCGCAAATTATATCATTATAAGCTTCACGTATCATGTGCACGGATAAATTAAGGAAAAATAAGGGAAAAAATTAAAATACTTACATTAAAAGACTTTTCTCAATGAATTTTTTTGACAAAGCTTTTAATCGATGTCAGAGATTATTCGAATCTTTCAAGATTTTACCCTGATACGAGCAGTCGCTAAAAATTTGGTTAGCTTAAAAATTTGCCCAGTAGCAAAGAAAAAAGCCTCGTTTCCTCTATAGCATTGTCAAGGAATCCGCATAATACGCCAAAAGGTGAACTGATAATTACAGGTTTCTAATAATGATAAATAAATTTTAAAATGGTTAAATAAGGATGAACTTGAATAGTCAAGTGAAATTAGTATGCAGTGAGTTAAATATTTGGTGATGGTTGCGCATTAAGTTAAATATTTCCGGTGGAAACTTTTGCGGTGGATTTCAACTGGTTAATTTAATTTTCTGCGCCGCAGACAGTTTAAAATCTTCGAAAATTTCCATTTCCATAGGGCAAATTATGTCTCGGCAACGGACTCCTGGCACGCCTCTCGGGTACCGGAGACCTGGAGGAATCCCTGGATCCAGGGTTCGCAAAATTAGTCATTCCTTCATTGGCCCCGTTGTAAAATCTCGTCTGATTCTGGTCCAGATAAGTTACGTGAGATCGGTCACGAGGTTTGAATTCGTCAATTGGTGTATGTTGTTCAGGTGTTGTGGTGGTGGGCTTGAACGAGTGTTCGGATCGGGGTGGTTTGGGACTGTTGAAAATGTGGGTGCTGACGTTCTCAGAGGATGGTTTGTTGTTGTTGTGGTGGTGGCTAAGTTGGTTGGATAACATAGTTGGACTGAAAAGATTGTCGCGGGAGGATTTCTTCGATTGCATTTCGTCCGCCGCTGAAAAAAAAACAATCCAAATCAATTTTAGTAAAGAGTTATTGATCAACAACTTGGAGCTTAAATAAAATTGAGCCGGCGAATCAAAATTTGCTACATATTCCCATTCATTTTTTGAACTCAATCATTGGATTTTATTTGAAGTCTAAACTCACAATTAATTTCAACGGGAATAAATACTATACAGAATGAAAAAAGTTCCCATAAACAGGAAAAAAACAATCAATAGAACTTTTGAAAAATTACAAAATAGTTGTCGCAAACCCTTCATAATGTCATCAATATCGTTGTCTGGTGGGTCCCATGGAATGACCAGAGAGTCCAGCAGAGCGTCCAGATCTATCGGGATGTTGACACCGTCCATATTTGGAAAACCACTCGAAGCCTTGTAGTTCGGAGGACTTGTGGTTTCGCCAAAATCTTTATTTTTATTGGTTGAATTGTTCTCGCTTGTGATTGGTCGCTGTCTTTCCATGCGTTTTGTATCGGCCAATGAGGTGTAATGCTCCGGCTCTGATTGGTTGACGTTCTCTTTTTGATGTTGGATGCTGCTGGCGCCATACAAGGTGGTCGAACTATAACATTGCAAAGTCCCAAAATCTCAAGAGAAACAATGGTTTGTGAACAAATTGTGTAACGAGTTACTTAACATACTTCGAAGCTAGATATGACGACCCTACATAATTGTGATCGCCTAATTACACTGGTTGACCTTTTTCACCGAAAACGCTTATCATACAATTCCATACATCAATTTATGGAAAAAATGCTTGTCATACAATTTTCATACAGTTTTGAAAAATGGTTCAAAAAAGGTTTAAACTATTTCTGAGCTTTATTGATTCTTATAAATAATTGTGTGTTAAAATCATTTTTTTCCTTATTGATAATGTTTTTAGATATCTTTTGAAAATGTTTTTTAAGAAACTGTATATGAGTCACAAGCGTTTTTTGGTGAATGTAAGCTGTTTTTCATCGAAAACAGCATTTCAGTTTGAAATGAAAAATGCTTATCATACAAATCCGGTATATGAGAATTGTTTGATAAGAGTTTTTTTGATTAAAAAAATCAAAAAAATGCTAAAAACAATTTTCAAAAACTTTTAAGCGAGCTAATAGCATTATCGTTCAACAGAAGCGCTTTGAAGCGCTAATTCACAGATCTTCTGAAAAGAACTTATGGAACAATTATGGGTTAATAAAGCGTTTTTTTAAATAAAAACACGCTAAAAATCGGGGAAAAAATCATTTGAAAAAAACTCAACTTCATAGATGGAGCGCCTCAAGAACAATCGGTTCTTGAGGCGCTTCATCTAAGAAATTTTAATTATTTTAAATTTAGTTGGAAAATGTTTCTTAACGTTTTACATTCTTGCACGATAAAAATGACTAGTACTTTATGAAAATAAATGCAAAACTGGTGTTAGGTGAGAGAGTTTGGAGCAAATCACTGGAATGGTTGAATCTCTAGTTTTTGTCAGTTTCTGGGTTTTGGGTAGTCCGACTCACGTACAGGTTTGTTTTTAGTCCCAGGTACTAATTTCCATTAAATTAGGCTTAGGAATTTGATGGTTGCTCAAGAGTTGAAAACAATTACTTGCATGGAAAGCAGAAATTGATCATCAAACCTCTAAATACTGCAATTTTTCTCAAGTTTTCTTTTCTGTTCGGAGATTGCACGTTTTATGTGATAGACTTTGACGTATATTTTACCTCACTTTATTTTTAAAAGTTGTTAATCATACAGTTTTCATAAACGACCAACATCTAGTCATACATTTATCATATATGGGAAACTTCTAGTTTTCCCTATATGAACAAATATTTTTCACAGATATTTCAGATAATTTTCTGTAAGTATGGAAATGTATAAATTATGTGACAAGAATTTTCTCATGTACGGAAATTGTATGATAAGAGTTTTTGGTCATCCCGTGTAAGGTATGTACTAATTTGCCTCACTTCATTTTAAAAAAATGTTAATCATACACTTTTCATAAATGACAAACATCTAGTCATACAATTTTCATAAATGGGAAATTTCTAGTTTTCCGTATATTAACAAAAATTTATCACAGATATTTCATATAATTTTCTGTAAGTATGGAAATGTATAAATAATGTGACAAGAATTTTCTCATGTACGGAAATTGTATGATAAGAAGTTTTGGTCAACCCGGGTAGGGTATGTACTAATTTTCCGAAGAAATTGACATGGTGAAATTTGCAAGTAATGAATTGCAGACGGTGAGTAAAAAGAAAAACAAATAACCATATTAAACAAAAATCTATTTTATAGACAACCAAAAGTTATTTACTCATAATTTCATAACATAATTTCATAACTATTGCATCATTCAGTTGCGTTATCCAATGAACTGAAGAATGAGATTTGTATCATATACTTCCTCATCAGTAGCAAACAATAAAAAAATATATTAAATAAAATTTCTGATGTCACGAGCCCAAAATGTTAAGCAATTTGATCTATCTCGGGCTTAACTAATTCTAACAACCTTCAATTCCGCAATTAAAATATTTCTTTCTAAACCCAAAAGCTACTGACAACTCGGTTTACTGGAAATACACCTGAAAATTGATTCGGCTGACCAAGGTATTTGGGTTCTTTTAGCAAGATTGTTTCCAGTCGAATTGAAATTTTCACCGCTCGAATTTCCGTACACTTTTTAACATTACGACCCCCCAAAAAAAATTTTCATCGATTTTTTTTTAGATTCTTATGGTTTTCAGCATCTTGCAGAAATATAATCATTAAGATTTTTCAGGCAAAGGAAACATTTGTTTGTATAATGAAAGACCTTTAGCTCCTTTGTAGATCAATTTGGTTAATTAAATATGGTTTACACGATTGAAAATTATACTGGTAAATCTCAAAGTTTTTGTGCTGGGATTCTTAAAGTTTTCTAATTCTCTCATGTGTTAAATTCAAAGAAACTATCATGTCATCTAATGAGTGTCTCGACAATTTTTATATTCGTTTAATGCTTTAAGGCCTTTTTTATAGCCTTTTTGGCGTTCACGGAAGACTGCTTACGATTATAAAAGTTGCTGGCGTATTTTAATGAAAACAGATTTTTTAAGAATATCTTTATTTAAGTTTCACCATTTGAAATCAACTTTCTTTCTGTGTAAAATAACGCGTTCTCTTTCTTTTGTAGCGAGTTGTCGAATTACACTTGCAACCCGGGACGAGATTAAAGTTTTATGATCGGACGGTTAGGACCAAATGATATCTTTCCTTCGGTAATTCCAGTCGCGGTTAAAATTCCGTCGGTTGCGCCGGTCGCGATTAATTTTGCTTCAATCATACCGGTTGCGGACACATTGCCTTAGTCTGCAAGGTATAAAAAAAATCCAATTTTGCTCTGAAAACATCGAATTTTTGTCACCTCTGTCTGAAAATACCAGTTTTCACACCAAAACTTGATGTTTTCAGATTTTACAGACTGAGGCAATGCGTCCGCAACCAGTGCAGTCGAAGGAAAATTTATCGCGACCGTCGCAACCGAAGGAAAATTAATCGCGACCGGAGCAACCGAAGGAAAATTAATCGCGACCGTCGCAACCGAAGGAAAGTTAGCCACGACTGGAGCTACCGAAGGAAAGATATCATTGGAGATCTTATAACCTGTCGTATTGTTGTTGCTGAGATGGCTGCTGTAAGAACTTGTGCTGTCTCTCCGCCTGGGAATGCCCCTGCTCCCCTGTCCCTTCCCCTCCCCCCTCATGATTCACACTAGTTTGTCTGCTACTCCCAAACAGCTCCGGGTCCAGTTGGGCGGCAGCTGCTGTGACCACGCCCTCTATCATTCGGGTAAGAGTGAAGTGGTCCAGAGTGTTCACGAGGAGTTCCGCACACTCTCGGCTGCTCATTCGGGACAACTGGCTGCTCGAGGCTATTCTGGTCTCCCTCTTTATAGATGCCTGAAAGCAAAGTAACTTCAAACTAAATTTCAGAATACGTTTCAAGTGGTATTCTGTTCAAGTACTTTAAACAAATATTTTACATAACAAGCACAGCAATTAAAAATCTAAAAGTCTTAGCTGGGGAAAAATCCTAAATAGTTTAATCATCTCTAACAGCAATCACCATTAAGTTCCAACAAATGTTCATTTTTGATGTTCAATTGAAAAATCTTCGACGTTCAAAAAGAAACTAAACAACAAAGTGTTCACCTCTCGCGTTCTTTTGCGAAGTGTAACAGGTGTCAGCGAGCTGGCCAAACTATCAGTCGACGTCTGGAAGCGAGAACTCCTAAAGTGCCCAAGATCCGGCTTCTGAGGAATTGGAGGAGGCATCCTGAATTCCTCCAGGTCTTCACACAACCCTCGTCGTTTTTCCAACTTCAAAGTGTCAGTTCCGAAATCCAAACTTCCACTTTGTTTGTAGTTCAGCGACTCTTTCGACATTTGCTCTTCGTTTTGAAAACGAACCAAGTTTTCATCCAGCGATTGGGGAGCTCCGAAAGATTTCAAAATTGACCCCTTTTGCCGAGGTGGTGGTACTGGTTTTTGACGATACCTGGATCTTCTTCCTTCTTGTGACATATCGCGACCGCTAGAGGGCGATTCAAGGTAATCAGAATGATCGACACTCGAAATTTTACTCGGTTGTTCCAACCTTGTTGAAACATAATTTTCCTTCTCTTTGGTATCAACACCACAGTAAGCTGAAGATGAGCATGCGTTCTGATTCAGTGCACTCGAACTGCTCGCTTTGTTTTCTTCATCAATTCGCATTTTTTCTTTCTCAATCTGGCTTTTCAAATTGGCCAGAAATCCAGGGTTTAATCCACCGGTAACACCTGCAGCATCGCCTGTTCCAGGGTCGTCAGGGTCATTCGGGTCCTTTTTAACCAAGTTTTTCTTCAGTAGTTTTGTCATCATTTCCGGTTTCTTCCCGACCAGAAGTTTGCTCGCTTCTCGGAAGCGACTGGCAGATTTGCCGTATTGTTTCGCAACCTGTCGAGTGCGTTCTTTGATTGCTTTTTGAGCTGCTGGGTACTCTTTAGTTAGTTCGTACAAGTCGGACTTCTCAAGGACGAATAAGTTTGCGAAACCAGGTGAGATTATGTCGGCTGTTCGTCTGCTCATTCCTAAAAAGAGGGAAATCCAATTAGTAAATTTGACTTTCATTTGTCACGAGAACAAACTTCTTTTTTTTAACAATCGAGAGGTTGTTAATTGATTAATGAATTAGTATTGAGTTGCTTTTTGTATATAAAGCACTGTAAGGGTCAAAAAGAATCAAAGGTTTTTTGATTTTTTTTTCTCTTTTGAACTGCATTAAACGCTTCATTTGCTAAATGTAAGAAAAAATAAGCTTATATGATATTTGTTTTATTATAAAAGGTTTTCAGTTTTCTAAGATGAACAAAACTTTGACTATTTAACTTTTCAAAAAAAAAAAAAAAAGTTTTTTTTTGGCTCCAAAAATGCGCCAAAAATTCATATACTAAGTCTGAACCACCAACCTTTGATGCCTAACAAGCTGACTTCTCCAAACACAGCCCCCGGCTGCAGAGTGGCCAGAATGACCCTCTTCCCAGATGCCTCATCTTCCCCCGCCACCTGGACCACACCCCTGCTCACAATGTACATCTCCTTGCCCACCTCCCCCTTCTTGCACACATAGTCCCCTGGGATGTAGATTATGGGACGCAGTCGAAGCACAAGGTCATTCAGAAACATCTCACTCAGGCCCTGCAAAGAGGCAAAGAGCTCAAAAAGTTTTCATTTTTCCAGTTAATTTCAGGAGATTTCGATTTAATTACTTTAAAAAAAAAGATTAAAAGACTGTATTTATCCTTTCTATGTTACTCATTATTCGTTAGTATTGGCTACTAACTGTTTAACGCATCTGAATTATCTGATGATAAGTTCTTTACACCTCTTGCATTTCATCGTTCAAGAACTTTAGAAGAGCGATGTCAAAATTTATGTCAATGGACTTGCGAAAAAGGCAGTTTCCGCATATGAAGGATCACTTTGATACACTTTTTGATCATAGAAGGTAGAATTTTCTACAGCCGATTATTCTGATACTTTTTTCGTTACCTGGAATATGGTGACCTTCTTGAGTATTTTCAGATTGACGTCCAATCTCAGCTCTGCCTTGAGGTTGTCTGGGAGGGAGTCCAGAGCCTCCCTGTTGTCCACCATGTTCTGTGTCTCCCACACGTAGTCGAACCACATGCGCACCTTCAGCAACATGTAGTCCGGCACCTTCCTCGCTCTGGAACACAAAAACAATAGTCATTTTTGAATCTGGATTCTAGATTGAATGAACCCTCATAAGGTTCAAGTAAGTGCAAGTAGTGATTTTAAGGACTCAGGGGCTTTAAGAGTGAACGTAGATATCACGCCATTCTTGGAAATGTAATTTGCTCATAATCCAAAGGAACCCCTTTGGCACTTATTCACGACTCACTTTTTGTCTGACCATCTTCATTTTTTTCTGCTGTATAATTCGCGCGCATGTAAACTCCCATTTTGCGGAGATGAGAAAAGCTTTTATTCGAAATTGTTTTGAAAATCAACAAAAAAGTTTTAAGCTTTTTTCCATCATGGCTAGGGATATTTAATTTAAATCTTCGGGGTGCTAAATAGAGTCATTTACCTGAGGTAGTTCAGTGTCGCATCGCACTGTCCTCTGAAAGCATTCTGAGTACTAGTGGCCGCATCCAACACCTCCCGTAATTGACCAATCACAATCGCGAAAAAGAACACACCCACTAAGTAATTAGTCATACTGAACAACAGCTCACGTGACGTAATCGGAAAATCAGAATTACCGATCGCAGTTACCGTTTTCAAACCCCAGTAGAAACAGCGTAAATACGCCGAAACAAATGGAATCTGAATATCTCCCTGGTAAACCCAAGGATTTTTCCCAATACCGAAATCGGTTGACATTGCAAAATACAAACAAGCAGTCATGTGAATTACAAAAATAAGGTACATTAAAGTTTTCGTGATTCGAAATAAATGCGGACTTTTCAAATGTTGTTCACACTTGACGACGAACTCCGAGTAATCTTTGTATCGGAGAATTCGAACAAAACGAAGAAGACAAGGCCATCCTTTATACCCAAATAAAAAATACAAAACATCCAAAGGTAAAAGTGACATTCCGTCAACTCTAAATTGAAACGAAGCAAAATAAAAAGCTCGAGTTTGTTCATAAACACAAACTTTTTTGCCCTTGTCAATAAACTCAAGTCGGGTTTTGAACAGTAAGATATCCATCAGATATATAGTGTCGCACATATAGTCTAGACAAAACCAGAAATAGACGTTGTCGTAAATCCAGGGTTTTGAGTTGTCAAGTTGGAAGGCCCAGCGAACAGGTACAATCCATAGATTGTATAACCAAGCACAACTGGTAACAAATAACCATATAAGGTAAACATTACTTTGGGGATCAATTGTTGATGTAAACATACCAATGAATTTTTCACAACAATTTCGTTCGTCTGTAGATTTTTCATCATCATTTTCATCGTCTTCTTTATCTTCGTGATTTTCTTTGTCGAGTAAATGTTGAATTTGGTCGGCTAATCTAGATGTCGGCATAGTGCGCCCGTTTTCCTCTATGTTCGCTTTCGTTTCACGACGTTTCTTGCTATTTTTCAACGAAGAGTTTCTAACCGATACTCGATTCAGTTCTATGTTTGCGGTTGTATTGAATATTTCCATTTTGAAGTCACCAGCGTTGCTGAGTCGTCGCAAATTCATGTTCGTGTTGTTTAAAAGCGAGTCCGAAGTACTGTTCGGCCGAGAAGCATCGTCCTGACTGAACGAGATGTAGTTCGGCTTTGCGTTGGAGTTTCCATTTATGGAAGTTGGTTTTGTGTCGGGCAGTTTTGCTTGAGGCACTTCTAGCCGTGCGTGGTTTGAAACCGCCAGATTTGAAAGATTGCGAGGGTATTTTATTGAAGTCATTGATGAAGAAAGAAGGAAATTGCTTTGAGTCTCAGACCAATATGAGGCCAACAAATCAAACGCTCAATCAGTTTTTTGATTCTTTTTGAAATGGGTGAATTCGTTGTAAGTTTTGAGTTTGTATGAAAGTGTATTTGTGCAGAATGGAAAAAAAATAAAAAATTTACTTTACGTGTTTTAATCCCAATTTACGTGAACGTCAAATTAAGAAATGGTTACGGATGTCACAAATGGAATTTAACAGCGGGGCATTTCCGGAACCATTCAATAACCATAGCAGGGTGTACAAATGGGCATCTCATTTTAAGAAAAAACGTCTACCCTTTAGTCAAAAATTGAATTACTTTCCATCAGAGTGTAAAACTAGCTACAGTAGCCAGTTGATGTACATGTAGGACAGAAGGTTCCGACCGCATCATTGCAACCTTGGTGACAAGGAAATCACTGTAAATGGCGCAATCAAACTCTTGCAAAATTTCTTTGGGTGCAATCACCACGTGAAAGTGGACGGGTTAGATTTTTCTAAGCTGACTTCAAGAATGAACAAATTCAGTTTAGCTTCTAATCGTGAAAACTGCCAATTTCAAAATTATTGTTGCAATTTATCATAGCCACAAAATCGCAATTTTATCATGGCATCAAAATTATATCAAAGCATCAGAGTCACAAAACGAATATGTCAATAGCACTGTCTAATTCACGATTGTTTCATTTAAAAACAAAAAATTAATCGTCCGAAAGTGAAAACAATTTTAACAAAGTAGCAAAATAGGTTGAGCTCTTCTTCAGAGAATCTGTCTTAAAGTGATTAAAACGGAATTAAATGAGAAAGTGTGACTAATCTATGAATATCAATGAGGAAGAAGAGCGTTTTTTGTAGTTGGAGATTTGGGATCAGAAGTCTTTGAACTCCTCTTCGAACTTGCATGTCTCAGATGTCTTCATGGCTTCCTCGTCCTGCTTCTCGAAGTTACTGTCATCTCCAACTCCTTTAGTCTCAGGCACAAACGGAGCCTCCAACTGAAAAAAAACGGTTAATACAACAAAGCATTTTAAAGATTTGTTTGGTCTTAAAGTTTGTGATCTGAAAACTCCACATTTTGTTCATTTTTTTTGCAAATTTAGATTCCGAAAATTTAAACTACGCTGAATTCCAATAAGAAAACACTGTTTCAAAGTCTATAGGTCGAATTCGGCGAACCCCTGTCCGGGCAAGTTCAATACGAAGTCGAGACATCGCTGGGCATTAATTTGGTTACCCTTTATCCAGATATCTCGCCTAACTTTTATTGAGTGGCAGGAAAGTATTAAAAGTTGATTGCGCAGAAGATTGCAAGGTACCTGATTTTGCATGGAAAACAAAAAGAAACTAAAAAAAGAAAAAATACAAAAACATACCCGAATACAAAGACAAGTTTCAAACGGTCCGAACGATTAGCATAAAACTAATAATCGTAATAGACATAATGGAACCTGATCTAAACTACATTTTATGATTGGATAAATTAGATATTTTACCAATGTAAAGTATTTAATATTAACCAATCATGATCCATCTGACTAACAATCCACTTATTTGTAAGTGCTGAAATTACTTGTAATTTCAGCACCAGAGAGATTTGAATTTAACTTAGAAATTAGTTGACTCTCCAAGAAGACTTCAGCAACCGCAATAAACCAGTATACCCTAGATCTATTGAGCCTAGCAGAGACTAGTTAAGCAACCTGAGACTAGATAGTATAAGAGTAAGATTAGGATCGGTATTAGACTAAGAAGTTGCACGAATCTATCCGGCCGAAAATAAGATAGCGTGACGAGCAGACGGTGTACCCTATCCGAAATTACTCTATGAGTTATACCCATCGGTCATAACTCATCTGGTGCGACCATAAGTCTCGAACAAGACCTTAATAGCTTAGAATTAACCAATAATAGATTAGAATTTAGACAAAACATTTACAAAATGTTATACGACAATAATTTAATCGAAATGTCTCTACGACTCAATAGATCAGAGCCAATATTCCGAACGATAACAGAACTACCCGGAATTGGAAGAAGACCTCGAACCAGAGACGACATACGACAAAGCAGAAACTTACCATATAGTTATATGATAGTTCGGCAAAAGCCAGAACAAACTTTTGTATTTAGAATACTACTAGCAATGAATTTAGATTTTCATTTGCAAACATAAAATTTTGAAGTCAATCTTCAAAATCATTACAGGCGCTAAACAAAATTATTAATATACAATAACGATTGATAAAAAGATCTCAGATCGTTTTCCTAATTTCTGCAGTAATATACAAAACATGTTTAAAAAATATTTATTGAAAAAATAAAATAAAAATTAGTAGCATGACAATAAATGGTTAGTAATTATAAATCATCCTGTTGTTCCAGCTTCATCACCTAAACATAACAGCATTCATAAGCTCACTAATATCATAAAAATACTAAATCTTTTATTTACACAAATTTAAATCATTTTAAACTTAAATTCACTTAATTTTAAAATCAGATCATTAAGGCTTATCCTTGGATCTTAAATCATTTTCTATTTAATTAAATTTAAAACTTGATCATCAAGGCCTATCCTTGGATCAAAAAGAACAACTTTGTTCTCCCCCACCCACTTAACTAGTGTCTAACGACCTCAAACGTCGATTCACTATCCAACCCTTTCTAAAAACCCAGGACTAATAGAAATTTTTGAACAAAACTAATCATTCAAATTAGGATAAACAGTGAAGAACTTCGGTTATTCATCCTTCACTTGATCCCCCCTCTTACCAGACCCAGGATAAATCTTAGACTTAGTAAGTTTAAAATAGTATCTAACGAACTACTCGCGTTCTAATTATACCTGAACCTTGTGGATCGATTTACTATTCTCCAACCCTGAACACAATCACTACCCTTAAGTAAGATTAAGTAAGTTAACACCTTAGCTTACACTAGCCACGAGAAAGTATAAAATCATTCTTCGGAATTGATATACTTTTCTCCCCAACCCTGAACAAATAGACCCAGGTTAGGCTAACAAAAAAATCGTAAGGACTAACAGTTTAAGCAAATAGAAATCATTTAACAACCTTTTGCACCCGTCATCCTAAACCTTATGTCATTTAAAAACCTAGGAAATAAACAAACAATCGTTTTACACAATTGTGAAATAGATAACAAAAAATACGACCTTGTAATCACACCTCATACACAAACAGTTGGATACATTAGAACAAAACGACAAACATTAAAGAGAAAAATAATAACTAAACAAAGACAACTAACACGAAAAAGATTTTCAAAAAATCGAAACGCATTTTCAGAATCAGAAACCAACAGTTTAGACGAACTTTATAAACTAAAAGAATCAATAGATAAAAATTGCCCATTTCACGATCAATTATATTTCTCTGACTCAGAAACAACTTCAAATTCATCAAAAAGAGGAAAAAGAAGAATAAAAAAGCAGTATAAACACAAACCAGTACATTTATACAATTGGAATCAACCAATTAGACACATTGATAATTACATATTAACAGTCATCGAACGAAAAAATGAGCTCAACGCACACCCCAGGTGAAGAAAGTCCAGATGATGATGATATCTTCCCCTTTATCGTAGATGCAACCACTGATAGAGGACAGCATATATTTTGCAAAAATTTACTCTTAAATTTGTTTGAACCCGGAATCAGTCCATGTAAAACAGAGTTCCCAGATGTAAAAATCAAAAGACAAATTATCGATCACTATCTAAAAGATATATGTAACCTAACACAACAATACGGAATCTACTCCATAGAATTCAACTCACCAAATCAGAATCACAATAAAAATATAATTCAAACAGACGACCTTGATTTAGAATTTTCAAAAGTATTCTCAGAATATATAAAAAGCATCCAATATCATAACTCACAAAGAGCAAACTCCATATTCACCAATGAAGTTTTTGCGATAATATATAGTTATATATCGATATTAGAAAACGAAATCCAGATACCAAATGTCTCACCGACAGAAACATCTAAACATATAAGAGTACGACATGAAATCACACTACTCTCTAGTTTTCTAAATATAATTAAAGAAAATTTCACGAAAGATGAAGTTTCCCAACATACAAAACACGACTTACAAAAAATTTTGGCATGGTTCATAATAGATTATTTCACACATAATATTGATTTAATTTCACAAGCAAGAAAAAATTTTAGACCCCAAAACTCAAACGATGATACTGCCATCACAGAACAATCAGACTATGTTTGGGACCCCGAATGGTCTCATCCCGCATTCATAAACTTCCCACAATCAATCTCAAGTCAAGCAATAAGTACGATATCTTATGTAAGAGATTATGTAAGAGTAATACCATTAACCATTGATGCAACACCATTAAACTATAATACATTCTTACCCGATATGCAAAATAATAGTTTAAACTCTACAGTCATACACAATGAAAACCTCAATGGAACTAGGAATCTTACTCAACAAGATATCCAGACACCATCACACTTCATAAATGAAGAAATCGTACACACAACAACTACACAACAAAGTATTTCACCAATACGTCCCAACTTAACAACACCAAGAAATACAAACCCTTCACAAACACAGGTTACCTTACAATCAACCGTTAAACCTTCGGTTGCCCCAAAATATTCACACATGGATTACCAAACATACAGACCCATGACAATACCGCCAAAAACACGCAAAACGTTCACTAGAAACAATTTTGCAGACCATAATTATAATTACACACATCCATCAAAAACAAATTATCAAACACGAAAAATTTTTAGTAATTATACAAGATCTCGAAACTGGGATAACTCAATGGCACCACCTAATTCAGTAAATTTCCAAACAAATTTACATCCTCCACAGGATCGTAGTGAAAACTATCCATTTTTTCAACAAAATAAAAATATAAAACAAACATCTTATCAAATGGATTACTTATCCTCAGATGATGATTTCTTACAACCAGATATATTTGCACCCTATAATCAAGAATATCGTGGACAAGGAATACAGAAACCACATACACATCATAGAATTTTTTCTCCACAACCAATAGATACACAAAATCAACATCCAATTCAGCAACAAAACCCAATTAATACACAATCTTTTCAACCAATTCAGCAAAAAAACCCAATTAATACACAATCTTTTCAACCAATTCAGCAACAAAACCCAATGATTGCAAACTCGTACCAACCAACACAAATGCAAAATGAAATACCACTCCCATATTATCTTCAACAACACGAAATAACAAGAAATCAACTTTCAAATTTTTCTCAAATGCCAAATGCAGCAGAATCATTACAAATGACAATGAATCCATACCTTATGGGTGGATCATCAATAACATCAAATAAACCTTTAATGGTATTCACAGGAACAGACCCTGAATATTCTGTAGAAGACTATTTAAATACAGTAACAGCAAATTTGATTTTAAATATAGGACCTGAACCAATTAATACGCCACTACATCAAAACTGGATACATCGACGCACAGCGTTGATACAAACAACTTTAGATGGCGCAGCCCAAAAATGGTTTTCAGTATTGCCTATAGAAATAAAATCAAATTGGAAAAGATTTACACAAGAATTTTCAAAAATGTTTGACTCCGAAAGAAACAAACAACAACAAAGAGTTTTATGTAATGAAATTCGCAGATTACCAAACGAAACCATCAAGCAATTAGCAGTACGAATCGAAACACTAGTTCGAAAAGCATATTAATTAAATACACATGACTATAAAAAACACAAAGATGACAGAAATCTTAATGATGACCTTAACACCGCAATTAAGAAAAATAGCAATAAAAAAGAGAGCATCCCATCCTTCTTCAATTCGAGAACCCGATTTAGATTTTCGAAAACTAGTAGACAAACTAGAACAAGCAGAAATCACAATGAAACTCGAAGAAACGGAAAATCTGAAATTACAATACGTTAACAGAATTGAAACAGCTT